AAGCGGAGGGTGATGTTGAGGGGAGCCCCGGGAGCCGCCCCGGGTGTCGGAGCTGCTGTCGGGGCGGATCTGCCGTGACTTTGGGGGGCTCGGTGCTTTCCCGAGGGAGCCGGGGGCTCTGAGCATCCCCGGGGAGCAGCGCTTGTGCCGGCCCTGCAGAGCAGTGGGAGGTCAGGCCACTCGCCGAGGGTTCTGCTGTGTTCGCAGCGATTCCTTTCCTCGGCTTTGCCTTCTTTTCGGGTTACTTTGCTTGCAGTGCGTGCGGACGGAGGGATGGGAGCGGGGCTTTGGGAGAGCGCTGGCTCTGGGGTCCCGCGGGGATCGCGCCCCCTCCTCCGGAGCTGCTGAGGCGCTGGAGAGGTTCGGGCAGCTGAGCTTGTTCACCTGCTCGCCCCAGCCCGGAGGTCGGCTCGTCCTGCCCGGGGTTGTCCTGTTGATGCCGGCTGTGGCTTCCTCACAGTCCGCAGAGCGTGAGGTTCTCGGGGAGCCGCGGCTGAGATGGCCCGGTGCCCCAGGCCCACCCTGCTCTGGCATCCTGCTCGCTGGGTTCCAGCCCCGCAGAGCTCCCCGAGCCTCAGGTGTGCTGCTGCCTTTGTCCCGGCGCCGTCCCGCCGGCTGTGGGAACGCCTCTGGAGGGAATACCTCGGTACGGTCATATCTGGGCGCTGGAAAAGATCAGCTGCTCCCCAGGGGAGCGAGGGGGATCCTTGTTCCACAACATTTTTAGGTGGATTTTAGACCCGGGATGAAGGAACAGGATTTTTGTTACGTTTTAAATAGGAAAACATCCTGCAAACATAGCCCCGTCTTTTCTTGAGTCAGGCTCGTCAACACTCTAGCTTTAGACGGTGTCTGCTTTGAAATGAGGGCTTCATCCCTTTGATGGGGCGCCCTGTGAAACCCGCAGTCAAAGTATTATTTCCTAAAACTACCATGAGATCATCTTTGGACAAACAAACCCAAGCTGTAGCAGGTGACTCTTTACTCTGAAATTGAAATAATGTGTCTCCTCTGTGCATCGGGGATTCTACTGCATTCTGTTCCTTGTCTTAAAACGCTTCTGGTTTTTGCACAATACGTTTGAAATCTGCTTATACGAAATCTGTATGGAAGGGGATGGAAAAAAGCATCCATTGGACGGGTCTCTCGCTCAGTTTAAACCTTGTTTCACATCCCAGAGCAGTCAAGTGGGACTTTCCAGGTGTTGCCATGCTGGTGTTGAGCAGGCTGAATAGATGGGGACGACACAAACAGAGCACAGCACATGCCAGAGAACTCTCTCTTGATGCAAATGGGCTGCCAGAGCACACGCTTCGGCTGCAGTGACCTGTCTTTCAGGCTTTTCTGTGCTGATGTTCCGTTTATCTGTGGAATTTCCTTGTCAGCCTGGGTGGAGAGAGTCACATACCAGATCGCTGGAGCAGCTCTGGGTGCCCAGCACAGCCTGTGAGCAGGAGCTCAGCCCTTGTCACCACAAGAAGCTGTTTGTCAGTGGACTTCGTCCACAGCCCCAGCTGGTGCTTACCTGGTGACAGGCAGTGCGTGGGCAGGGCAGGTCTGCCTGCTCTGACCTGGTAATGCTCTTGAGCTCACTCCACATAATTGACCAGTCCTTAATAAAGAGCACTGCTGATTGCTGGAGTTTTTAATTTTGCAGTTGGCCTGCCCTCTCCTCCCCCAAACCCACACAAAGGGAGCTTTGACTCCGTGAGGACGTGCAGGATGGGCGGTGGCCGTGGCTGACAGCTGGTGGGCTTGGGGCAGGTTGTAGGTTGTCTGATGGGACCTGCTGCATGGAGAAGGACCGGAGCTCTCCCAGCTCTAATCGTGCTTTGTGTCCCTCCCTAGCCTCGTCCTGTGCCCAAATGTCTCCGTGGGCTGCCAGAAACGAGTGTGCCAGTGCGTGTGGAGTGTGCTGGGGGTGCGGGCACCACTGATGGAAGCCTGCTCCTTTCCATAGCCCCGGTGTGGGAAATGTCCCTGGGCTTGCAGGGATCACAGCCAGCTCTTGTCCGCAGCACCCACGCGCTGCGCTGGTGTTTCAGCCAGGGAGCATTGGTTTGAAAAGCCCCTTTTGTGGTCTCTGCTCCTTGCTGGCCTGGAGAGCAGTGTGACCCCGGCGTGGGGACTGCAGTGGGACAGCTCTGCCCAGGGGCTGTTGTCTCTTGGCTGCTCAAGGCTCACTTTTCCCTCTGGCCTTTCCTGACTCCGTGCAGAAGGTGCTCCCTTGGCTGGCCCCCGTGGCAGCCCCTGCGGCAAGGTCAGGCAGCCGCACTCTTCCTCCAGGAGCAAATCCTCCAGCTGCCTTGTGTGGCTGGTATTTCTCGCTCTCCTGTTTCCTCCTTTCCCTGCTGGGCTTGCAGGATGCCCGCAGGCTTTGGCTTGGTGCCTTGCCAAGGAGTTAAACCCATGATTACCGTTCCTGTCTCCTTGCAGTGCCATGGGTGCAGGCCGGTGAGTGTCCTCCTTTGGGGCATGAATCGTAGTTCCTGCTAGGATTAGATTCCTTCCGGCAGGAAGTACGTCCCAAGGATCTGGTCCTGCCTGAGGATTGTTTTCCTCCTTCTTTGCTGTCTTTCTTACACACAGTTGGGTCCTCTGTTTGTCCAGCACGACCCTGTGCAGCTTTGAGGGAAAGCAAGTTAACTCACCCTCACTGCTATTCTACAACAGAAATGAGGAACCTGCCTCTGAAATCTGTTTCTCCCCACTCTGGGGATTCCAAAGTAGGAAAGGAGCATCAGGAAGCACTCCACAGACACATGAAGACATAAGCTTCCACCCTCTTGCTGAATGTTACAAACCTTGGTTTTGGATGCCCTTGGCTCTGCTGTCTCTGTGCAGTTTATACCTTTCTCAGCTGGTGTGATGCCTCTTTTCCAGCCCTGAGCTGCAGTCTGGCTGGTTTGGGTAATGATTAATTTTGCAGGGGGTGGTCTGTAGGTGCACAGCTGGGCAGAGGGATGGAGGATCTAGTTTGTCCTGATGGCACTTTGAGTAGCTGTTGTCCTCTTGCACACCCTTTCAGCCTACCCTGGGGCTGTTCTCTCTACCCCAGCAGTCTTTCTTCCAGCTGGGAAAATGGTTAGGCTTTAGAAGACATGTATGAAAGAGTTACATTTACAGCACATGAATTTTCATTGTGTCGTGTGTCACAGGAACCTGAGCTGGGTAAATGGATAATCACAGAATGCTTTGGCTTGGAAGGGGCCTTTAAAGATCATCTTATGGGCAGGGACACTTTCCATTATCCCAGGTTGCTCCAAACTCTGTCCAACCTGGCCTTGGACACTTCCAGGGATGGGGCAGCCACAGCTTCTCTTAACAGTGCTTGCCTCCCCACCCTCACAGGGAAGGATTTCCTCCTAACTTCCAATCCAATCCAAACCCCCCCTGTTTTAGTTTAAAATCATCCCCCCTGTCCTTTCACTCTCTGCCCATGTGTAACATCAGCCCACATGCTCAGCAGAAGGGCAGAGCTTTTACCTCTTGGCACCACAAACTGCTGCCAGGACACAGGGCACCCCTGTGCTGCCTGCACCCATCTGCTCTGGCTGTGCCCCAGGGCTTCCTGCTGCCTGTTCCATCACCTTTCCTTCTGCCCTCAGCCTTTCCTCCTGACCTTTTCCTCCTCCTTGGAGTCTCTGGTGACCTCTTATCTTCATGGCACGTTTCTCAGAGTGTAGTTTAGGCATCTGTTAGTGCTCTCTGGCTCAGGGAGATGGTTTTATAGCAGGCATGTGGGTGGTTCTGGCTGGAGGTGCATGGATCACCACATATCTAATGGGACTGGAATGAGAAATCAGGGACACAAAGTGCACTTTTCCAAGAAACATTTAGTCTCCTGTGTGCTTCTGTGGGTGGATAAAGCCCTGCAGCCTGCCCCCAGCAGCTCCCCCACCAACTGCTGTGCTCTCTCCCTTCCAGACTCCCTGTATGTCTCCGAGTACTTCTCCCAGAGTGCTCAGAAGCTGTCCTTCTACAGCTGGTATGGGAATGCCAAGCTCTTCCACTTCCACGTGCCAGAAGACACCGTGCTGCTACGCTGGCTCCTGCAGGCATCCCGGGGGAAAGGCCCCGAGTGCACCAGCATGGAGATCACTGTGTATGTATGTCCCCGTGCCAGGGCTTGTCCTTGTGGGCTTCTTGTCCCCTTGTCCTGGTCACTCGTGGCTGGGGCTGGTTGATTGTGGAGGCTGGGTAGTTCCTCAGCTGCAGGAGCTGGAGTTTCTTTGTGTAGCAGGACAGAATCTGTTTTTAAACCTGTAGGAGGGTTTTGTGTTCATGTTACCAGCTGATCTGGGGCTGCCTGTTAGGTGTGGTGTCCAAGAGATCCCCTAGGACAGCGGAGAGAGCTTCACAGCAAGGCAGATGTACTGCTCAGAGGTGTTCCTGGCCTGGCAGAACCTGCACATGGTGCCAAAGGATGTGGCAGGACTACGAGGGACTTGAGCAGACCCAGACTGGTTGGGGATGGGCAAACTGCCCAGTGCAGGAGGACTGAGGAGATTTGGGGGCACTTTGTGCAGGGCGTGGCCGAGCACAGAACAGAGATAGGAGATACCAGTGATGTTGTGTGGTTACAAGAGCATGAGAAGATTGCTTATATCTCACAATCAGTGAAAGAAATGCTGCTTAAATCAGTCCTTGACTTGTTGAAGGATTTGAGGTCCAAAAGTTGGCAGATTTTGAGCTTTATCTTTGGAGGACACCGAGCTTCCTCAGCAAGTTGTGCCCATGGAGTCACATGGGTCTCTGGCATCCATTCCAGATCTGGGAGTGACTGAAGCTGCCTGGCTTGTGCTTCCCTGGTGTGTCCGGGGGAGACTGCCACTCTTAGTTGTTCCTGAGCTGCCTGGCACTGATGGTCTTCCTGTTTTCTGCTTCCCAGAAGGGTTTCCAGCACTTTGGGGACATGAGGGACAAGGCAGCAGCTAAACAATAATCCAGGAAGTGATGGCTAACCAGATAAGCTTCAAGGGGTAATAACGTATCACCTGTCATGTCTGCTTGCTGGACCTGTTGCAGTGCAGTCCAAAAGCAATCAAATTAAATGCCAAATTGACTAAATAAATATCTCCCACGTTCCTCAGCTGTGTGTGTTCCTGCTACTTCAAATGCTTATCTGGAAAGCAGAAGTACTGCTGTACTGAAGTCTGTAATATGGGTCTTCCTTGGAAAGTGACTTTCCAGTCTGTCTGTTTGCCTTTCTTAGAAGAGGAAATGGGAAGATGCAGATCTTAGCTAGAAAATTAAAGTTCTTTGTGGAAGATTTTCCCTATTTGGGGAATTTGCTGGTGGTTATAAAGCAGTAGTCTGTGGGTGGGGCTTGGCCTTAGCAAGTGTTGGAAATTTGCTTCCAGGCTTGATGGAACCATGTAAATCTTAATAAGCTGCCAAGTTAAACCAATCTCTAAATAAATCCCAGATAAGCTAATAGCAGCCAATCCTCACCACATGAAAATGATGACTCCACCTGAAAATGTGGGGTTTTCCAGCCTGCTCCCTTTCCAGAGGCCAGTTTGTATCCCAGTTTATCTTGCCAGTGCCTGCAGATCCCTGAGTTTGCTCTCACTGTGCTTTCTCTGGCAGGCACTTTCGCCACGGAGCCCCTCCCGTCATTAACCCGCTGGGCACTCGCTTTCCTGCCAACGCCACCGTCCGTCCCTCCTACAACATCAGCATCACCCTGAGCAGTGCTGTGCAGAACACCACCTTTGTGAACGTCACCACCCCTGCCTCTGGGGACTGGTTCATCGCTGCCCACCTGCCCCAGGCTGCGGGCAGGATCGAGGTGAAGGTGAGGGTCCTGCCCAGAGCCCTGCCCCGCGTGTCTCATCACAACCACGGCTGACCCCTGTGCTCTCCCCTCCTGCAGGGTTTCTCCACTCCATGCCCCTATATGTTCCAGGCAGATATGTTTGTGCTCAGACTCACTGATATGCCTGTCCTGGAGCCTGGTGTCCCCATGCCACACACCGTTCTCTCGCCTGCTAAGCCACTGCATGTCAAGTGAGTGGGAGCAGCGGGTGGGCAACTGAGGGCACGGCGGGGTGGGATTTCCCACACGAGCTGCCATGGGGAAGCCAGTGTTGTTCCCACGTGGGGCTGGAGCTGGGGGGACTCTGAGCCTGTTGCTGAGCTCCCTGCAGCAGTGGCAGGGTCTGCACGGGGAGCACACGAGCACCCTTCTCCGACTCTTCCCAGGTGGCCATAGATTCATTCAACTGCAGGAATTTTAGCTCTTCCAGATGTTTGCCCTGGGAAGGCTTTTCACAGCACCAACCAGGGCTGTCTAGCTCTTGTCACAAAGCCCTGGGGGCCTGGGCTGGTGTTGAGAGTGTAAGCTCTGCAAACTGCTGCTCCCTCCCCATGCAGGGTCTTCGTTCCCAAACACGCCACAGGGATGCGGTTCCAGCTGAGCAGCTGCGTCACCAGCGAGCAGAGAGCCTGCACCGTGCGGGTGCTGCTGGGCTCCATCACCCTGCCCCAGTCCTTCCAGAGGAGCCTCACCTGCACAGGGAGCATCAACTGCAGCCTGGCCCTGGATTCGCCCCCCTGGGAGAAGTGGCTGCAGATCGTGGTGGAGAGTCTCGGCACTGCCAATGCCAGCGTGTCGGTGGAGATGCTGGCGTCCTTCACAGGTGGGATTCCATGCTCTGGGAAGGACCAGAGGGAGCTCTGTGTGTGCTGTGTCCCCCCTTTGGGTGCCTGGCTGTGGTGGCTTATGCTCCCCATCATGCTCGTTGCCTACTCTTGGATGCCCTAATTTTTGCTTTGGGGACAAAATTGAAAACTCCGGTGTTCACCCCAGAGAGGCTTTTGCTAGAGCTGCCTGTTTGGAAACACCTGAAAAGTTCAGTGTTGTTTTACTAAAGGCTGTTAGGGAAGCAGCAGCTGGCTTAAATTTTGGTGGGGAAAATAGTTTTCTGTGGTCCACCAGACTAAGGCTGTGTTGATTACTAATTGGCCAAAAGCAGACTACAGGCAGGAAACCACCTCACAGAGGTTAACTTGGGGAAATGTCTGGGGTTGTAGTAAGGAGATGTTACCATTTCCAGTGGCACCGTGTGGCTCAGGTGGTCACAAGGTCCTTGTGGCTGTGATAGGCACATTTGCACCTATTACATGACCATAACCCCTGTTTGACTGCTGGAAGCTCACCAGCTAGGTACATTTTTAAAGTTTTTTTCTGCTGGGGGTTCTGCCATGTCCTCTTCGAAGCAGAGACTCATCCTTTGTGCTGGAGGACCTGGCACTGACAGCAGAGGTGTTAGAGGGTAGCACTGGAGTCTCTGGGAGCAACGGGCTGTCTGCAGCAGTGGGACTCTGGGTGTCCCATTCAGCTCCATCTGCTGCAGTGTGATGGTCTGTGCTCCACAGGGTTGGCTTGTCCCTCCTGCTCAGCTTTGCTTCCTCACAAAACAAAGAGCTGGAGGGACTTTAGTGCAGCCTGTGGCTGTGGGACAGCTGGGTGCTGAGCTCTGCTGCTGGTGAGTGAGCACTCCCTGGGCACCCTGATGGTGATGTGTTATCCCTTCTTCTGTTCCCCATTTCCCTGCAGCTCCAGGGTGCTTCCACCCACTGTGCCACTCTCTGGCTCCCAGCAGCATCCCAGCTTTTGGATGCTCCTCCTGCAAAGGTGGCTCCTCAGGGACAGTTCATGCAGGGTGTGAACAACCTGAACTCCCCCAGTTTGTGCTGTTGCTTGGAGTGCTGGATCTGCTGGGGCCCTGCCTGGGTGAAGTGCTAGAGCTGGCTGTGCTGATTCCTCTCCTTTTTCACTCTAGTTTGCAGACCGGGAAGCACCAGTTCCTTCCTTAACTTCATCAGCCTAAACCAGAGCCAGGCTGGTGCCAGACCAGGAGCAGCAGGCAGCTCTGCTCCAGCTGCAGGAGGGGCTCCACACAACGTGTCTGGCCAGCGCAGCTCCTGCCTGCAGAGCCAGCCTGTCGTGAGGGAGGACCTGGACGTGGTGTCCGTGCGCTACCGGCTCTTGAACGGCCCCAGCGTGCCCGTGAGCTCCCTCTCCCCCAGCCTCCTCCTGCTCAACCTGAACACAGGCATGGACAGCGGGGGATCCCTCGTGGTCAATCTGCTGCTCAACAAGGTGTGCAGGATGGACGGGGTCGTGTCCCCTTGGCAGGGCTCCTCCCTGCTCCTGTGTGCTCCAGAGGTTGTAGGTACCAGTGGGAATATTTCTCTTTTTGTTGTTACAAAATACTCTGAGCCTTTTTTAGCTGCTTCCAGCGTGTCCCACCTGCCAGCTCCAATTCAAATGCCACAGCCTGCAGCATGTGGCGGCAGTGACGCAGAGGAGACAAAATGGAAAGCAGCTGCAATGCCATCTTCTCCATGGGAGCCTGGCACCTTGCCACCAGGAGAGGAGGCTGAGCAGGGGAGCCCAGGGATGTTCCTGTCCAAGTCACTGATGCCCAGGCTCCTTCACTGCCATCACCACCAAAATCAGCCCCCTGAAATCCCATGAAACATCCTGAGGGCTGGACCTGGGCTCAGCCCTGATGTTCTGCAGACTCTGACTTGCATCTCCCCCGTGCTGGTACTGAAATGATGTTTGGGTATCCCAGCTTTGGGGCAGTTCCCCTGGCAGGGTCCCCCACAAGGGTCTTTTGCCACTCAGCCATGACACAACACAGTGGTAGCACAAGGGCCAGTGGAACAGAAACCTCAGTTGGTGGGTGACTTGACCCGAAGGATTTATTGTTCCATGGGCACTGTGGGAGAGGAATGGTGTGGGGGGATGGCATCGGGGTGCCCTAACGTGTGACACTGCTCTGTTTGCACAGACATCCGCGAGCCTGGCCAATGCCACCGTGGCAGCCTGCGTGAGTGCTGCTTCACCAGTGCTGTCCCTCAACGCCACACGCAACTGCAGCACAGGTAGGAGAGGTGCTGGCACTGCCACCAGCTCAGCTGTGTCATCTCAGGGCTCTGCTTTTAGACCTGGCCAGCTATTAACTGCCTCAGGATTTCATGGGGTGTCCCAAAGAAACTGATTTTTGCACAAACCCTCATGAGGTCTTTGTGCTGGCACATTCTCAGGGTGCTGGGGTGCAGGTGGTGGTCTTGGCACCACGAGAGAGCCTCCACCAAAGGAAGGTCTGGTTACCAGCTGGGGCTCTTCCAGCCTTGTTGGCAGGGGGTTTGGGGATGGTGAAGGTACTGCTGGTGTGCAAAGCACAAAGCTGTGCTCTGGAGGACCAGCCAAGACAACAGGCTGTTCCAGGTGCCTTGTGCTGCCCAGGTATGTGCCAGGAACTGAGATGAAATTAAAAATTGAGATCTCAAGAAAAAGGCTCTTGGAGAGCAGGGGTACTCTCCATGCCCCTGGTGCCTCCTGAGCATGGGAGCAAGGAGCCACAGGAGGCAGCTGATTCCTGGGATTGCTGTGGGCCCTTCTCCTCAAGCCCTGGCATATCACAGCACCCTCTTTTCTTTCAGCTTTTTCCCAGGGCTACCCTCTGAGTGTGAGCACGTCCTCTGCAGAAGCAATGCTGATTGTCCTGTACCCACAGACAGATGACTGGTTCCTGTCCCTGCAGCTCCTCTGCCCCAAGGGACAGGGGTGAGTCTGGATGCCCTTGGCTTGTATGAGCAACCCTGACCCCCATCCTCCTGTCTGGGCTGTGGGCTCCTCTCACCTGGTGGCAGTTGAACTGTGATGCAGAGGGACAGGGAGGTGGGTGGCCCTGCTCTCTTGCTCCCTTGTGAGCACCCAAGCAGCTTGTTTGGGGCTGAGCTGGCACAGCTCACACAGACTGCAGATGGCAGAGCCTGCCTAGGTGACCGTCCCCAGGTGGATTTGGAGGTGATAAGTTGGGAAATAATGCTGCTGTTACCCTTCTGGGAGGTCTCTAAGGTGCAGGCAGCTATGCCTGAATTCCTGCTGGTTTCCTGTGTAAGGAGCCAGGTGCATGATGCAAAACAGCACTGGTGACACTGGTCCTGAGGACAGTCCTGGGCACTGGGGTCTGCTATGGGGTCTGGGGAGAGCTGACACCCACCTGGACATCAGTTTGGCAGCCCAGGTGGTGAGGGAGCAGACTCTGCTCCTGGCTCTTGGGAGGGATGGAATAGATCCCGAAATACCGGGGAGCTTGCATGCTGGAGCATGGCCTGGCCATTGGGAGCAGGGCACAGGGCTGTCCCAAGGGCTGTGGCACCGAGAGGACGTGCTGTCCTTGCAGGGAATGTACCAGTGCCGAAGCCAAAGTGACGGTGTTCGCGTACCTCACCCCCTGCTTCAACGACTGCGGGCCCTACGGGCAGTGCAGCCTCCTGCGCAGACACGGCTACCTCTATGCTGGCTGCAGCTGCAAGGCTGGTGAGTGCCTCCTCCTGGGAAGCTTTGCCATCCTCCCCCAGGGGACAGCACCATTTAAAATGGTGGTGTCTGAGTTGGAGAGCCCGGGGTCTGCCCTGGATGGCAGTGCCTGGGGAAGCAAGGTTCTGGGAGGCACCCAGGGTAGATGGGGAATTGGGATGAGGACAGCTTGGAGTCCCCCAGGGCTTGGAGAAAGGCTTCTGAGCATCCCCAGAGAGATCAGGGTGCCTGAAAATGCCTGTGTCAGAGCCCATGCCTGTCAGGGAGGTTTGTTGTGTAGGTTCCTGGTACGAGATGCGATGAGGCCGGGCTGCGGTCCCTGTGCACCTCCTGCCAAGAGCCTCAGACTCAGAGGTGCCCCTGGAGGAGGAATATCTGTGTCAGCTCCTAATTATCTTAATGGCCTGGGAAGTCTGTGGTGTAGGGAAGATGAGCTCTGCTGTGCTTGGGTGGGTCTGTGCACCTGTTCTCAGCAGAAGGACAAGGCAAAATGTGGTTCCCTGCTGCTCTGGGCCTGAGCCAGGACCTCCCTGCTGCAGTGCTGATGATGGGTAAGGAGCGAGATGGAGAGCAGCATCCCAATTTCCCCGAAGGCTGCCAGGTTCTGGGAAGCACACAGCACCTTAAGGGAACTGGGGAATCAGGCTGAGGACAGCTTTCCGCTGAATCACTCCGAGCAAAATGCCCCATCGGCATGTTGGTGACCCAGAAATAAAGCAGGGACAGAAGGTTCCCTGGGCCCTGCCTGGCAGGGAGCCAGCACACGGGGCAGAGCTGCTGCTGTGGGTTCCAGTGACTCTGGAATGGGATGGATGCTACTGTCAGCTCTGCTTCTTGACCATGGAGTGCCTGCACATACCCCGGCTGCCCTGTGGCTGACCTCCTTTTTCCAAAAGGAGGGCATAAGCATCCTAATCTTTAATTAAAATGATTTAAATAATTAAAAAAAAAGAAGAGGCAGATTTGTGCTTGTAGAGATTGCCTCAGTTCAGTCCTTGGTATCCAGTCAGAGGCTGAGAGTTGTGTTTTGTGTCATGCACTGTCCTTTAGGAAATTTTCACTCCCAGGCTCCTGTGCAGCCCTGGATGTCAGCATGGGCTGAGGCAGTGGGTTTGTTCAGCCTGTGGAAGATGAGCTGGAGTGGGACCAACCACACTTTCTGCTGCCCATGGAGGTTACAGGGACCCTGGAGTCAGGGTGAACAAAGGGAAAGGACAAGAGGCCACAGACATTGGGTGCAGCAAGGAAATTTCCACCTAAATTGAAGAAGACACATTTTTTCCCCTTTCAGAGCTGTTTTTTTTTCACAGGTTCCAGGTCTCCATCCTTGGAGATTTTCAAAAGTCAGCTGGGAAAGGTCCAGAGCAGCTTGACCTGGTTTTGGGTCTGCCCTGCTATGACAGCTGCTAGGAGGGGAGCCCAGTGGCTTCCTCAGTGCTGGGAATTGTTCTCCACCTGATTCCTGGGATCTGTAGGGATCTTGCACTCAACTCCCACCACCACATGAAGCATCTGAACCTTGAGTGCTTGATGTTCCAGCAGCAAGTAGCATGTGTGTTGAGTTCCTGCAGGGATGGACAGTACCAGTCTGGGTGTAGGATGGCCTCTGCTACATGGGGACAACCTGGGGAATGTCCTCAGGGCAGCCATGGGGCTCTGCTGGGGTTCCCCAGCTTCCCACAGCAGAGTGTGTGATGAGTAATGAGACCACCCTGAGAGCAGGAGGAGAAGAGGCTCAGGGACAGTCTGGGTGTGGGATTGCTCCTTCTTGGGCATCCCAGGCTCCTGCTGGTTGCTGTGGGAGGATGAGGCAGGGCCTTTGAGATTCACAGAAGCTTCTCTGTCTGCAGGCTGGGGCGGCTGGAGCTGCACAGATGACACCAAGGCTCAGACCGTGGGCACACAGAACTTGGCCACGCTCCTGCTCACCCTGAGCAACCTCATGTTCCTGCCTGCCATTGCAGTCGCTGTCTATCGCTACTACCTGGTGGAGGCCTCTGTCTACACCTACACCATGTTCTTCTCCACGGTAGGGCCTGCCTGTGTCCCCTGACACCTCCCCCTGAGCTCTGGGAATGCTGCACCAGAATGAAGTCCTTGGTGGAGCAGCCTATCCTGGAGCTCCACAAGGAGGTTCTGGGATCACTGTACAAGCACCTCCATCCAAGAATGTTAAGGGATTGGGATGGACCTCAAAAATCACCTAGTTCCATGGACAGGGACACCTCCCACTAGACCTGGTTGCTCGAGGCCTTATCCAAACTGGCTGTGAATACTTCCAGGGCTGTGCATCAACAACCTCCCTGTTTCAGTGTCTCACCATGCTCACAGTAAAGCATTTCTCCCTCATACCTAACCTAAATTTCCCCTCTTTCAATTTGTACCCATTAGTCCTTGTCCCATCACTCCAGTTCCTGAGAAGAATCCCTTTCCAGCTTCCCTGCAGCCCCCTTTCAAATGCTGGAAGGTGCTATGAGTTCTCCATGCAACCTTCTCTTCTCCAGAAGAGAACAGCCCCAGCTTTCCCAGCCTCTCTTCATAGAGCAGGTGCTTCAGTCCCCTTATCAAGTCCATGTCCCTTCTCTGGACTCGCCCCAGCGCTGTCCTGCCCTTTCAGAGCTGCTGGGACATGCAGGGTGCCTGCTCTCACCTGCTTTCCATGCCACAGTGGTTTGGTGGAGCTTCCCAGAGCCACTGCAGGAGGGATCCTGCCTGTGTGCTGAGCCCTCTGCTGCCTCCCCTTCCCACAGAGCCATGTGGTGCTGCTGGGTGATGCTGACCTTTGCTTTTGTCCCATCTGCAGTTCTACCACGCGTGTGACCAGCCGGGCGTGGCTGTGATGTGCATCATGGACTATGACACCCTGCAGTACTGTGACTTCCTGGGCTCCGTGGTGTCCATCTGGGTCACCATCCTGTGCATGGCCCGCCTGAAAAAGATCCTGAAATACGTGAGTGTCAGGTGGCCCAGCCAGACCACGAGTGGCCACGCTGAGCCCTCTCACCGCTGTGTTGTAATGACACAGCTGGGTGACAGACCCTGTTTGTCACCCTGGGTTGTTTTGTCCCAGCAGTTTGGTTGGTTTGTGTGCTCGTAGGGGCTGGGCCTGAAGATTTCCCCTGAGATTTGGGGTAAAGGTTCATGGGTTCTGTGGTTTCTCCTTGAAGGTGTTGTCCCTGACTCTTGCATGGATGCCAAGCTGGGTAACCAGAAGAGGTTCTCCTTGCCTCTGGCATGTCTGGCTGTACTCTCTCGACAGATGAGCTCCTGACAGTAGTGGTGGTGTCTCTTTTGCAGGTGCTTTTCATCTTGGGGACCCTGTTAATTGCCATGTCCCTGCAGCTGGACCGCAGAGGGGTGTGGAACATGATGGGTCCCTGCCTCTTCGCCCTCATCATCATGGTTACAGCGTGGGTAAGTGAGGGAAGCCAGGCTGGACCTGCTGCCCTTTGCTCCCCATGGGGAATGGTGGTGGTAGAGCAGATCCGAGGCTCCAGCCTATCCACAGGCATGGCTTGAAACCCTGAAACACCCAGGTGGAGGGGGCAGGGCAAGGGATTCACCTTCCAGTCCTGCAGTAGCTGAGAAATCCCCTGGTTCTGGGTCTCACACCTGGGGCTGCAGTGCTGTCGCACAGCATGGGCTGTGGCCTGGCCCTGGGCAGGAGCTGTGCCTTCTGTGCTGGGCTCTGGTGCCACAGCTCCTGGGGGGCTTTTGCACAGCAGAGATGGGCCCAAGCAGCAGGGGGGCTGAATTCCTCAGGGACAGCAAGCACCCTCTGGGAGGTTGGCAGATGCTCTGGGGTCTGTCTCCCCCCTGCCCCAGCCTCTGCTAAAGCCCCATGTGCTCTGACCCCCCCAGGTTCACCACGGAGCAAAGCGCAGGCACTGCTACCCCTCCTCGTGGAAGCGCTGGGTTTTCTACCTCCTCCCAGGGATCACCTTGGCTTTCATTGCCATCTCAGTGTACGCTTTCATGGAAACCAATGAGAACTATTACTACACCCACAGCATCTGGCACGTGCTGGTGGCTTGCAGCGTCGCTTTCTTGCTCCCTCCTCGGGACAAGCATAAGAAGCCCTGGGCCTGGTCCCAGAAGCTCACGTGTCGCTATCAGATCTGCCAGAACGACCGTGAGGAGCTCTATGCTGTGACCTGACCTGTCCTGGTCACAGGGGTGGAGGGATGGGGAAGCTGCTTTTGGCCGTGGCTGCCCCTCGTGTGTCGTCAGTCCTCTCACGTGCTCGTTCCCTGGACAGGAGGGTGCAGCGTGGAAAGGGTTTAGAGATGAAGATGGCTTGGGCTGGTCTTGTGGAGGCAAGTTTGAGGCCAGCTCTGCTTTTCTCCTGGGGTGGGGCAGGCTCTTCATGGCTCAAGATCAAGGAATAGCTTGTCCCCCACCTCCCTATAGCCCTGGGGGAAATCGCCAACCCTTCTTCCCCCGCTGCTGCATCCATGAGGCTTGGGCTTAGCCCACAGAGCTGGAGCCAAGGCTTTGGCTGCTGGGCTCTTCTCTGCACCCTGTCCTGGTAGAGGATGTGGGACAGGGACCTCCCCTGCCATCCTGCAGTCAGCATTTGAACCCAAGAGAATATGTTTCTTCTGATCTGGGGAGCAAATGCTGCCAGGTGCCCTTGGTGCTGATGGGGAGGGAGGGAACTGACCCCAACATCTGCTGGGCCCTTGGCTGCCATCTCCTTGGGGGTCTGGAGCCTCTCTCCCTCTGAAACAGGTGCTGCTGCTCTTACCTGGTCCTGATTCTGTGGGGAAAGAATGGGGCTGGGACTTGGGCCCTGGATTCAGGATCAGACCTGGCAGGAATGTGAAAATCCCCACGTGGGGACATGCAGGAGGCAGCAGCAGCATCTCACAGATGTGAGAGCATCCACAGCATCCACAGCAGTGCAGGGTTCAGACTGAGTTTCACTTCAGCTCTGGAAGGAGCCAGGCTGATGGTGTTGAGGTATTCAGCGTTTTCCTCCTTTTGGGGGGTTTGGCATGGGCAGGGCTCTCTCTGGGGCATGTGATTCGGGGTGGTGCCTGAGCTGCTCCTCCAGCCTGCTGTGCCTCGGAGCCTGGATGTGCTGCAGGGTCCCAGCCCAGCCAGGAGCATCACCAGGGGCTCCCCAGGTGGCCAAGGTCTCCTTTGCAGCAGCTCTCACCTTAGCCTTACTCTAGGCCACGTGGAAAGCAAGGGCAGAACTTGGCAAGCAGGGAAGTTGTCTTTGCCCATCCTTCTCGTACAGATAAGGGCTCAACTACATCGTTCCAGCTGTGTCAGCCTGGTGGTGCTGCTGGGAGCCCCTCCTCAGGTGGCTTTGGGGAGGAAAGAGCTTTTAATGAAGGATTTGCCTCCTCGGGGTTCTTTCCTTGCTTTGAGGAGCACCCAGCTCAGCTCTGCACTTTATCCCTCTGCAAAGTCCCCCTTTTTAAGCAGGCTCGGGACAAGTGAAGGACACTTGTCCACAGCCAGCAGTGTCATCCCCCCCTCACCCATGTCCCCTGCGTTTCCTTGTGCTGCTGCCATCCAGGGCAGCATGGCAGGAAGGGGGACATGGGGCCCTCAGGGCTTCCTCCGACTTTTATCACTTTTAGGCACTTTTTTTTCCCCTGTCTCAGTTTGCACAGCGGTGCTGAGGCCACAGCACCATGGCAGGCGACCGCCGCTCCTTCACAGCCGTGCCGTCCATGCCGGGCCACCTGGGTGCCACCAGACTGGCCTGGGTGCTGCCAGTGTGACCTGGGTGACACCAGTGTGACCTGGGTGACACCAGTGTGACCTGACTGCTGCCAGTGTGACTTGGGTGCCACTGTAACCTGGGTACTGCCGACATGACCTGAGTGCTTCCAGTGTGACCCAGGTGCTGCTGGTGTCACTCAGGTGCCACCAGTGTGACTTGACTGCTGCCAGTGTGACCTGGGTGCCACCAGGGTGGCCCAGGTGCCCCCAGTGTGACCTGGGTACTGCTAGTGTGACCCAGGTGCCACCAGTGTGACCTGATGCCACTGATGTGGCCGGGTATTGCTGGTTATCATAGAAAGCAATAATTCCTCATCTGGCCTTTCCCTTCAGGGATTTCCATGCTGGAAGCAGGAGAAGCTTTGGGGCAAGGAATCCCGTGAACGTGATTGTTTATTTTGTGTTTGATCGTTAATTTTTGCTTTACCCCCTCCCTGCTGACCTGGCCTTGTGCCTGCAGGAGGGAGGGTTAATTATTTTGGGTAAAATCTGAGCAAATTCCTGTGTCTGGGGGGGAAAAAAAAAAGGTTATTTTTTTTCCTTTGCTGTTAATACCTGTGATTATTTTATACAGTAAATTTTAAAGCTTACGGTTTTATAATTTAATAAAGGTGACGGTATTTGCGGGCAGACGCCTGGTGGCTGCAGTCACACAAGCACAAGGCTTGAAGGGACCTCATCTCATCCATCCCCCTTGTCCAGGCAGGGCCACCTGGAGCAGGTGACACAGGAGCGTGTCCGGGTGGCGTTTGGGATGTCCCCAGAGAGGGAGATCCTTCCCTGGGCAGCTGTTCCAGGGCTCTGCCACCCTCCGTGTGAAGTTCTTCCGCACAGGATGAGTGAATGTCCTCAGTGGGAAGGGACCCACAAGGATAATCCACTCCAACAACCCCACCCTGGGCATCCCTGGGCATCCCTGGGCGCATCCCTGGGCATCCCTGGGCGCATCCCTGGGTATCCCTGGGCATCCCTGGCAGCCTCGAGGCTGTGTCCATTCCCTGGGCAGTGCCAGCACCTCTGGGGAAGAACCTTTCCCTGCTCTCCAGCCTGAGCCTGCCCTGGCCCAGCTCCAGCCGTTCCCCCGAGTCCATTGAGGTGGATTCCGCAGCGGTTCCGTCCCTGCCCATCCCCGCTCCGGTCTGGGCCCCGCCGGGCGGAGCCGGGACCGCGCTCCTGCACCTTCCGCGCTTGCTGGGGAACGAAACGCGGGCGCGGCGCGGCCCCTCCCGGCCACCGTCGTGCTCCGTCGGCGCCAGCCAACGAGCGGTGGCTGCGGCTCCGTTCGCGGCCGCGCGGGGCGGAAGCGGCGGCNGCAGTAAAAGGAGTGCCAGGAGGTGGGACAGGGCACATTACTCTGCCAGTTGTCACAGAGTGGCAAGAAAAGTATTCTTCACTTGAGAGTCAGTCACTGCACATCCTTTGATGGGGTATGGGTTAAAAACTCCTTTCTGTATTCACCTGACCACCAGTTTTACCCTTGGCACTGGGTAAGCACAGCCTCAGCCTTTTGGTTGCTTCTAGTTGAAACAGGAGCACCCCAGCACCCCCAAAAAGGCCACTTCCAGCTCATCCATCTGACCAAAGCTTCACATGTGCTCCCAGGGCTGTGGCTTTCCACCAGGGAGTCAGGCAGGATCTAAATGTGTTCAGGTGCCAGGTGAGCTCCGCTGCCTCATGCTGAGCATTACCTGTAAGGCTGCCAATATGACCCCAAATCCCATTTCCCAGCAGTCTCAGTGGGAATGACTTACTTGATCTGATCCAGCAGGACTCCAGCATCCTTGGTGATGGCCTGAGCCTCTCTGAGCCGGCACTGGATGGTATTCCAGGTCTCATCCCGCTCCATCAAACAGCTCTCAGCCACTGCACGCAGCTTCTGCTCCTGGCACACCTGGCCCTTCATCACCTGCACCTCTTGACATCTCTGCAGCAGAGCACACTGGGGATCAGGCTGGGAGCATTGAACATCTCACACCTGCTGCTCTTGAGTTTCTGCTATTTTAATGCCTTAGGCAGCCCAGCCAGAATGTTCCTTTGCAGTGGGAAAGGAAGTTGGATGAAGCTTGTACACTGAGTGCAGGTTCTCTCCACACTGAGCCCAGCTGCAGTTACAATACCCCCTTCCTCTCTGTTTACAAAGTTATTCATGAGTCCAGATCTCCCAAACCGACACAAGCCTTTTCACTGATGGCTGCACAATAAAAATGACACTGCTGGGAAAGAGTAGGGATTTGATTCCTGCCCCTGGCTCCTGTAGTTCTCAGCTGGATGGGAAGCAGACACAAAGGAGCCCAAAGGATGAGGAGTGGGTAAGCTGCACTTGTGGTGTACTTGACACCAAGCACATCCACTACAAGTCATGGCTTGACGTGAAGGAAAAACATCAGTGACACAACAAAAACACAGCATTGATCACTTCCTGCAGGGTGCAGGGCCCTGAGGAGCTCACAGCAGCCTCACCTTGTGCAGCTGGATGGCCAATTCCTGCATCTCTGCCTCCAGCCGATCGGCATAGGCCAACTCCAGCGCGTCGCTGGGCGGGCGGGCGCTGCTGTGCCAGCGCGCGATGGCCGAGGTCATCTTCCTCTTGGGGCCAAACAGCCTGGGGGGATGGAACCAACAGGGGTCAAGCCCTGCACAAGCTGTCCCTCAGCCCAGCAGCACACTGTGAGGACCTCTGCAGTGCCCTGGTCTCTCCAAGGTACCTCCAGAAGCAGGAGTGTGTTACAGCCAAGGACATGGGGATGTTGTGTGGGAGGCAGCCAGAAGAGAGCAGCACTCCCCAGCTAAACCCTCCTGACCAGACTGAACATGGTCTGTAGGGGAAAGCTGGGAAGGACAGGGCAGACACTCACGTGATGCCTATTTCCTTCAGGTCACTCTCTGTGAGGGTCAGGAAGATCCGGAGGTCCACGTCTTGCTCCTCAAACACCTGCAGGTACTTCAGGCACCCAATCTCCTCAAGGAACGTTGCCAGGTCCTGCAGCCCAGACAAAACAAACTTATTAACACCCTCACAACAAAAGCATCACTGTTCCTACTAACCATAAATATCTGCTTCCTCATGCTGTTGTAACACCTTTCTGGGTTCCAGCAGCAACCACAGCTTCCCGTGGTTCCCTGCTCTTCTCCAGAGTCACACACCAGGACTGGCCTCTGCTGCAGCCTCTTCTAACAAGTGCAGAGCAGAATGACACAGAACCAGCTCCCCCATCCCACTGCCAGGTTTGTTAGCCCATTCACAGGCCTGAAACCCCTGCAAGCAACAGCAACATCTCAGCAAACACCTCCTCTGCAAGAAATTGCTGTTTTACAAGTGTTTCTGGGAAGAGGTTTGCAATCCAAGGTGTTCTGGTGACTTTGGAAAAGCCTCCCACACCTGGTACAGAGAGAGGGCATGCAGGACAAGTCTGTGGTTACCTTGGGCCCTGTGTAGGCTGGGGGCTTAGGAAGGACCAGGTGCTGGCTGCAGCCCCCAGCCCTCCCCAGGCAGTGGCTCCACTGGCTGTCACTGTTGCTGTAGCGGGTCTTGATCTTAAAGCTCTTGGCTTGTTTCCGACTTGGGGGGCTGTTGGTGTGGTCAGAGTCCTGGAAAACAAAAAAAAAAACCCTCACAGAATGAATGACTGCAGAGATGTCAGGATCAGGGGGGCTAACAAGTGCAAACTCCTCTAAGACCTAAAGGCCCTTTTGTACTGTAGTCCCAGAGCTGCCTTGACCCACGTGAGCTGTGAGCAACCTCCAATCTCTTCCCCTTCCTCGGTTTTCCTGGCCCTGGAACAGCCTTTCCTCACCCAGCCTGGTCCTACAGGCTCCCACGGGAGTGGAGTCACCCAAGAGTGAAAGCACTGCTCAATCTGAAGGCAGAGAAAGGAAAATCCACCTCATTGCTTTCCAAGGAGCCTTCACTGCTGACTCCTGGGATTTTAAACAGGTATTCACTGCTGCTGCTGCTGTCGCTCCTGAGGGTTCCCAAGCTGCTGCTGGACAAAGCACTATCCTCTGGAAAGAACAGGGAAAAAAACATTGAAGCACAACTTCGTTACATTCTGGTTTTGTTACACAATTACCAGCAAAATCTCCGGGGGGTGTAAAGGAGGGGGAGATCCAGAACAAGGCTTCACTCGGGATACAAGATGACCCCGAGGCAGAGATTTCATGTCTGATCCCCAGCACTCATCTTTTCCCAAATCTGTTTACCACCAGAGACACTTCTGGAAACAGCCATGCTCTGTCTTCTTCCCACCCTCCTTCAGATTATTTTTACAAATTGATGAAATTAGGTAGCTAAACCACCTCAGCCTTCCCTCAGGAGAGACATTCCAATCTCAGCATCTTAGCGGGAAAGGAAGCCAAGGCCTGGACTGACACCTAGGTGTGCCCTGTGAGCATTTGTGAGACAGTGACTTACCCCTGCTGCTGCTGGTCTCCAAGTCCAGCTCGTTGATGGGGGAGGTGACATCCCTGTAGCGGAAGACACGCATCTCACAGCTGCCACAGTTGTTGAAGGTGACATAGCCCAGAGGGGGCGGCCGTGCTGAGTGCGGCAGTAAGGGAGAACCGACACTGGGATGAGAGTTAACCGTGGAGGGTCCTGCATGAAATGTAACTGCTTCTGCATCTGAAAATAACCAAAAAGAGACTCTGCTCACAACTGACAAGTTTCATTCTAAAAAGCACAAGAGAGCACCTGAGAAATGCAGGTGCCTGCAGTCCCCTCACATGACCCCACAGCACATGTACTTCATTTACACGCTTACACTGAAAGAGAGTCAGAGAAAACACCTCATAGCAGAGATGTACCTTAAACAGCTGCTTTCAGCACTCCCTCTCCTCTTTATACGCAAATTATGGACAGGGAGAAACAGCTGCTAAAGAGAGCAGCCTTGCAAACCCTGCAGAACCAACCCCCTGCAGCTGTGCTAAAACACCAGAAGCATCCCACTGGCATTTAAGAAGTTGACAGTATCATTCCAATACAGCCTGGGGAATAACACAGACTTGTGTTTAACACAATGAACTGAGCTCTGAACATGCTTCCATGTCCATAATCTTGGTTATTCCAGTCTGAGAAATACTTAGACAGTAAAACAAACCTCCTAGCACTGCATCCAGGATGTCTGAACTGGGATCATCTTGCTCTTAGTATATTGCAAAGGTTTTGCAATTTAATTTTTAGAAGCATTTCAAGTATCAGGGAAGACAAAATTCACAAGTTCACTCTCATGATCAATGTTTTCTTGGCCACTGTGAGCAACTCCCTGTCATCAGCTTCAGAGGGGCTCTTAAACTTTTGAGCCTGCCTCAGAATAGGAAACTGAGTTGTTCTCAAGAGTCAGGGGAACAGTAATTGAGGTGAGAGCAGAAAAGTATCTCACTCATCAATATCCAGCCTTGACAAAAGAGTTCAGGAGGTTTTCTTTCTAACCCAGACACTGGATAGTGAACTCCTTCATACAAAGCTATCTTTGTTCTACATGAACCACATATGAATCTCAAACAAAATAAAAATGGATAGCAGGAACAGCTGCAGTGCATTTGAGGTCTCAGGGGATTGCCCCTCAGGCTCCCAACTCTCCTCACCATGGCAAAACTGCCTTCTTCCCCCAATCCCAACTGCTGTGATCTTGGCCAAGGCCTGGGGCCCCTCATGGATGCTGGGACCCTTGGTCCTACGAGCAGGTCTCTGTCTCTGGGGAGCAGAACATGATTCATCTGAAGAACTCAGCTCCTCATAGTTGCCTGCAGTTCAAACACAGGTTGTTAGCAGCACAGGAAGTCACTTGTCTGCTTTACTTGCTACTGGTCCTACAAATGCAGTGGAAAGAAAAAACGGAAATGTTAAAGAGTGAGGGTGAACAGTTAACCTAGGTCAGAAAGGGGCCAGCAGACAGGAGCTGTTGGATTCATGCCTCTTCTATCCTCAGAAATGCTGGAATTTCCAGGATAGACCAGGTAGCACTACCCCATCTACACAGTACAACATACTTTCAGACTATCAAACACCCCACTCCAGGTGCCAGCTTAAAATTAAGAAGGTCAAACATCTGTTACCTGGACCTCTGCAGAAGACCTTGGGCACTGGGGCTGCATGCAAATCTATCAGCCCCACAATCTTGGTGTGCCCATACTTCATGGCCAGGGTCCGTGCTGTGGCTCCAGTGTTATCTCTGACATCTGCCTTCACTCCCTGCAGGAGTGAATAAAATACCTGTTTAAGTGCACATGGCAGAGGGCAGTGTAAAAAATATATATGTATATAAAAAAAAACCCCAAAATTATCTTAGCTCCTCTATCAGCTCACCTCTGACAGACAGTTCAAGCTGCACTAATACCCCAAATACCTTTCTAGTTATTTCCAGTTTCTCCAGTTCCTGAATGCCAGATAGCCCAGGACTCTTGTGCATTGCCACTGGGAACTGGTTTGATTGACCTGAAGTGTTTTGTATTGCTGCCTCCTTCTGGCAGTAAGCTGGACCAGTCAAATGGGATTAAAACTAAACTGTGTAAAAGCCCTGAATGCTCATGAACTTTTGGATCCACTAGCTTGAGCATGCATGCCTGTAAACACAATAGAAAAATTACAGCTTCAGCTGTCTTTTAATTCAGTCATTATTCAATTAAATCTGGATAGTCAGGCCTTACTTCTATTCCTGCAAGGCCTGTGTAAAATCATGGTACCAGCCTGCAGAAAGCAGATACTTTAGAACAGTCCTGAAAGTCTGGGACTTCAGAGGTGACTGTCATCGAGGAGCAAACAACACTGTCAAAAAAAGCATGGGGTCCAATTTGTGATAGTTCCTCTGAGGGCTGGAACCAGAGACTTTCAGCTACACAGAGAACTGTCAGGACACTTACATGATTGAGAAGGTACTGAACAATTATCTCATGGCCAGAAGCAGCTGCTTCCATCAGAGGTGTGTATCCATACACTGGCTCCCTGGGGAGAGAACACACGCATGGGCTGGTACAACCACAGCTGAACTGTGCCACAGTTTTGTCATTCCCTAAGAGAGCATTTCTACCCCTTAACCTTTGCTGGTCACAGACTATGATGCACTGGCTGTCCTGTTGCAGAATTCCCTGAGATCCAGTGATCCTAAATTGGCTGCACAGCAACAGATTACTCTTCCAGCTGCAGATCTGCCTTTAAGAGCCCAAATCAGTTTTGCAGGAGTGAATAAATCAAGAACCTCTTGCTGCCCTCAGGCAATTGCATGTGCATAAACATGTGGCAGTCCCCAAGGCATGGGAATGCAGAGCACACTTCAAACACCAACCTGAACTCCGAGTATATAAAATAATCAATAGAAAGACTTAAGAAGTACACTTGAGTTCAGAAGGTGTCAGTGTTTAGCTGATAATTAAACAAGCAGTAAATCTGATTTCCCTTGATCTTAGTTTAATAAACAGTGACAGAATGGGCAGACTTCAATTCAGTTTGCAGTCACCTGTCCCTGTATCAGCTGTGCCACACATCCTTAGGTACAGGGGGAAGACAAAAGCAGGTGTCTGTTGGAGTGTATTCATCTGCCACCTGTTGCTTTCATACTGAATGACAAATGACAATGAAATGACAATAAAATGACAGATTCCTCCTTACTTGCAGTTGGCATTTGCCCCATTCTCCAGTAAGAACTTGACCATCTGCTGGTGCCCAGCACTGGTGCAGTGGAACAAAGCAGTCCAGCCATGGATGTCCTTCATCTCCAGCTCTGCCCCTTGCTGCAAGAGAACAGACAATATTCCTTACTGCATCCGCTCTGTTCAGGTTTTCAGCCACTGCCCCTTTATGCTGGGTCACCAGGAGTTTGAATTCAATCCCACCAAGAAGCAGAACTCATGCCAGAACACAAAGTGGCAGCTTGTGGATAATCCCACCCTGAGCACAGCCCATGTTTTTTATGGGACACACACCTGTAGAAGGAAGTAAGCAACACTCTCATTGCCACAGCTGGAGGCCAGCATGAGGGGAGTCTGGCCCTCCAGGGTGGGGATGTTCACATTCACTCCCGCTTCCAGCAGCAGGTGCACGATGTTGTCGTGGCCGATGTAGGAAGCGTACATGAGTGGGGTCCAGCCCCCACAGTTCCTCTTGTTCAAATCCATGTCTCCACTAAGGAACAGAGAAAAGAAGTCACATGAACTACTGTGCTGGAGCTGTGGACCACAGCTGGCTTCTGCAGACTCTCGTTATCATCTAACACTGAAGCCTGCATGGGAATTTCTACCAGCTCCAGCACAACTCCCCCAGATTGCAGAATCACAAGAATGGCTTTGGGTAGAAGGGACCTTAAAGACCACCTCATTCCACTCCACCACCACGGGGGAACACACGTCCCACTAAAACACTGAAGAGGTAACTTATACCAGCAGATTTGCCCAGCAGAGCCCTCTGTGAGTCCCAGTGACATGTCCCTGCTCCCCAGACCAGTGTTGCACTGGTGACAGCCACACCTGCAGCAGGTGGCCCTCCCCAGCCCCTCTCACCGCTGGATGCACGCCTGCACCACTTCGTACTGCCCGATGGAGGAGGCCGTGTGCAGGTCCAGAGGCACGTCCAGCTCCTCCCAGCACAGCACTTGTCCCACCCCGTGCCACATGGAGAGGCTGTGGCTCAGCAGCTCCGACTCGCTGGCCTCGTCGCTCAGCTCCGACATCCCGCCCTGAGGAGCCAAAGCAGAGCACAGCACTCAGCTGCTGATCCCTGTTTTCCACAGAATTTCCACAGCTCCAAGCTGCCACAGGTTCGGAAGGCAAGGCCAGCCTGGATGTGTGGGGTTTCAAATTCTTACCTCAACTTTGTTTGACTCCTCAGCCTGAAGCAGTAACTGTTGCTGAGAAGATTTTGCTGGAAGTTTTCTCTTGCTGCAGGGAAGTCTGGGATTCCAATACACTGGAAAAATAAAAGGCAATAATGCTAAACCCCACATCTTTCAAATCTTATTTAAGATTGCAGAAGCAGTGGCTTTATCTCCTCCCTGCCTAATCCAAACATGCCTAAGGCAGCTTTGAATAACCTCGGCAAGGGAAGACTAAACATCTATGTAAGAGCCAAAGGTAGGCTTAGTGTTATACAAAAGAATGTAATTCTTGCTCTGCATGTTGTATAATGCAGGGAGAGAATTAAGAATTCATGTGTCAGACATTCCTGGTCTTGTCCATATGTCTTGCCTCACAGGATGGCCCTGATTAAATTAAGACAGAGTCAATAATGACAGTGCCCACTGCTCCCAGAAACACTCTGTCACCTGAAGAGGGTGCACCCTCCACTGCCATCAGGCTCTAAACAGATTGTTTCTACCATTTATTGTTTCAGCCCTTCAGAGGCAGCCCAGCCCCAACTCAGTGAATCCTGGGAAGTGCTGAAACCCTGGGAACAGCAGCACACCTGCCCATTCATTATCCAAGCACACTCCCCCACCTCCTGTAGACACAACTCAATCACACAGCTCCTCCAGCTCCAGGACTGCCTGAAAGGTTTATCCCAGCCCCAGCCTTAGGGAGCAACTGCAGACTAATCATTTGAACCTCTCACAGGATAGTGTTCTTGTCTGGCACTCTATGAAGAGCTGCATCCAGCAGCTGAGGGCTTCAGCTGCAGCTCCAGGACACTGAATCCAGCCCCCAGCACAGAATCCTGGAGTGATTCAGGTTGGAAGGGGCCACTGGTTGTCATCTCACCCAACCTCCCTGCTCAAGCACATTACACAGGGCTGCATCCAGGCAGGCTTTGAATACCTCCAGGGAAGGAGATCCATAGCCTCTCTGGACAGCTTGTTCCAGAAAATCCCATGGGAATTGCTTTCCCCTCCCTGTGGTCTCACTGCCCACCATGCAGCACTCCTGGGGTTTGCCTGGTCCCTCTACATAAGCTAAGCCAACAAAGTCTTTCTTTCCAGGTAACTTTTTATCAGTTTAATTCCTTTAATTCATTCAGAGGCAAAGCAAATGCCAAATGTGGCAGTGGTGAGGAATAAAAGAGAGCAGGAACAGGCTTTTCAGGAACACTTGCTCCTCAAATTCCCTCAGCTGTAATATTTCAAGACCATACTCTTGTTTTCTGAGCAACTGGGAGTCTTTCCCTTGCAAGCACCAGCCCCTTATAAGAAAACACCTTTAATTCCTATCTCTTCACCCCCCAACCTGGATTCTTTTTCTCCCACCTTCATTTTCTTCCTCTCCTTCATCCTCAGCTTGTTAAGACTACAAAAGCACCATCTATTCTACTTCATCAGCGGATAAGAAATTATTTCTCTTTAAAATTATCCATAAAAGCACTTACTTTGCCTGACAGCAGCAATTTGTATAGTGCAGTGGGAACCCAGAGGCCTCAGACAAGAATATGCAGAGCACAGGGGAAAGGCCTGAACACCTCACAATCAAAACACAAGGAGAGCTAAGTGGATTGAAGTGGATCATAAGGGGGAAAGCAGGAGTTTCTCACTAAAACAGATTAAAGCTGCCCCAGGAAGGCAAAAAGGCAGTGAAAAGAGGTAAAAGCCAGGGCAGTTTGTAGAAGCACATTTAGGTGCAAGTGAAGCTCCTTGTTCTCTACCCTCCTTGTTAATTGGGTAGTTAATGATAACCCACTCAGGTGTTTGGTCTTTGTCAGAATTGGACACTCTCAGGTCCAAGTTACCAATGCAGCCTTGGGGAGGTGATCCACAGCCAGCAGGGCAATAAGGACAGGACAGAACACCCAGGACATTCAGCCTCAGTCCTACACCTGCCATGTGCTCTACCTACATATTTTCTTCTTGATTTTTAGTTTTTTAAAGCTCTGAGATTTCCCCTCAGGCTGAACTCCAGCAGGTTGGCAGCTCTGTAAGCACCCAAGGACAGCTGCTCACAACCTCCAGGAAAACAAGAGTGATCAGAGCCCTCAGGAATGAAATGAAAAAAGACATGAATGAAAAAATTGGGGTTGTCTGGTGCAAAGAGGAGGAGCCTGGAGGGAATATCCAATACATAATAATCCATCATATCATAGAATACCAGGACTGGTATTTGGGTTTGGGTTGGAAGGGGCCTCCTGTCCCAGGCAGGGACACCTTCCACTGACCCAGGTCCACAACAGAACCTAAGAAACTCAAGTCATAGCATTGAACATTTTAGATAAAGCCCACAACAATCCCTGTAAAAGTAAACACAAGAGCACTGAGGGACATTGGGTTACTAAAAATAAGTTTGACAAAGACCTCCTGAACATTTACAGGCTGTTCCCCTGCTTTGGGACAGAGTGACCAATTTCACATTTGTTAGAGACCTCCCTCAGCTCTGCTGTCCTGCTTTCAGCTGGGATAGAGTTCATTGTCTTCCCAGCAGCTGGCACAGGCTGTTTTGGATTTAGGGTGAGAAGAATGCTGATAACACACTGATGTTTTGGTTGCTGCCATCCAGTGCTTACCCTAAATCAAGGACTTTGCAGTTTCCCATGCTCTGCTAGCAAGGAGGTGCCCAAGAAGCCTGGGGGGAGCTGACCCAAACAGGCCAGAGGGATATTCCATTGAACAAAACATCACTCCCAGTATATGAACTGAGGAATTTGGCTGGGAGGAGGCAGTCATAGCTTGCTACAGGGTGATAATCAGCAGGTGCAACCATGTTGCTTTTGAGTTCCTTTTGGGTTTATTTTCTCATTATAATCATCATATTTTACTTTGCTTCAATAATTAAATTGTTCTTATCTCAAGCTGTGAGAGTTTTTACTTTTTTTTCTGACTCTCCTCTGCCTCCCACTGGGATGGAGCAGGAAAAAGCAGCAGCCTGGTACTTGGTAACCAGCTGGGCTCAAGCCATGACACCTGTGAGGCTGTTTGCATTATTATTATTAATAAATTTAAGCCATCAGCACTCAGCTATTTGTCAGAGTCAGAGCTCTACAGTGCTGGGGCACAGAGTGGACAGCAAACCCCACACTGCCCTGGATTTGGAGTCTGCTGTTTGAGCAAACTAGAAGGCAGAGAAAAATAAACTTAGTATGAAAACTGAAGCAAAAAGCACCTTAGAGCCACACTACAATAAATGGGAGGTGATTTGAGAACCAACCAACCAGCCATCAACACAGAACAAATCCAACACTGACCATTAATCACCCTCAGCAGGCACTGCTTAGCTCCAGGCTCTGCTCAATTAACTTTCTCACAAGCACAGGTGACATCCATACACGTCCTTCCAAAATAGGGACACCCAAGGCAGCACAAATGTGGAGGTTGCTGGAGGTTCCAGCTGAGCCAGCAAACTGACAGGAGAGAGTCATGGAATATTTAGAGTGAGAAGGGACCCCCCAAGGATCACCCAGTCCCAACCCTGGCCCTGCACAGACACCAAACAACCCCACCCTGTGCCTGAGCAGTGTCCAAACTCTCCTGGAGCTCTGGCAGCCTCAGGGCTGTGCCCCTTCCCTGGGCAGTGCCAGCACCTCTGGGGGAAGAACCTTTCCCTGATCTCCAGCCTGAGCCTGCCCTGGCCCAGCTCCAGCCGTTCCCTGCTCCTGTCCCTGTCCCAGAGACTGGAGCTGCCCCTCGGGAGGAGCTGCAGCCCCTGCTGAGCTCTGCCCTCAGTCTCCTTCTCCAGCTGAACAATCCCAGTGCCTCAGTTGCTCCTCAGAGCCTTCCCCGTGCCCATGTCCCTCCTTTGGACACTCTCCAACAGCTTTAAAGACTTCTGATATAGTGGTTCCCCCCAGGACTCGAAATGAGGCCCCACCAGGGCACAGCAGAGCAAGAACACAGCCTCCTTCTGCTCCTAACTTAGTTCTATTTCCACTAAATCCAGCAACAACTTACTGGAGGGAGCAAAAAAAGCCTCATTACATCCCTTTTTAGGCGCAATTGTTACAAGCTCAGCCACAACAACAAACAGAACATTTCATTTTTGCAATGTATCATCCACTGACTGACTCAGCTGGCACAAATCACAGCTGCTGGAACCACACCAGGTTCCTGAGGTGGGCGAGAGAAAACCTTCCTGGACCCACAACACTCGAGTTCAATGTTAACCACGTCTCTAGAAAATACACAAAACACGCCAAGGTCTTCACCTTTTAACACTTGGACTCAATGATTTAAAGGTCCTTTCCAAGCCGAGCTATTCTACCAGGAGCCTGTCACTCTCAGGCACATTAAAGCACATCGAACAACCTCAGAAAAACGAGCTAAGAGGCACAAGAGCGCTTGAGCAGCCACATTAGGGAGCGCATTTCCCCTGTCAGGGGCTGTCCCCGCCAAGGCAGCCAGACACGGCACCCGCGGGGCTCGGCCCGAGCCCGCTCCGCTCACACAACAACGCACCTGAGGCGGACACAGCGCTCGGGTGCCGCCACACGGCCGCTACCGAACGCCTCACGGCGAGACGGCTCCGGGCCCGTTATCCCCGCACCTGCCTCCCTCGCGGCCCTGCTGACAACGCGGC